TCCGAGACTTATAGTTCACAAAAAAATAACTCTTGCACGCCTTGCGTGCCTATGTTTTTGTTCAGCGGTACATCCACACGCATGCACAGATCTGCATTGGGTTTGGGCTTGGAAAATGGACGACGGTGAGTTTGAATTCGTTTACCATTTAATCATTTGAATTCTTTTTTCTGTTTGTTGCATGTTGTTCAGATAAAAGCGTTTTCATTCTCTGTTCATTCGTCTCTTTATAGAAACCGATGGCAGAATAGAGGACTTTCGTTATCGAACGATGTAAGTTATTTTCAAACCATACTTTGAAAGTGAAAATTTCATAAATGAGATATGTGAACCGCGAATCTTTTTCAGTGACAATTCGCAGTTCAGATATCTCATTACTTAGCTTATGAAATTTTCAATCTCAAACTGTGGTTTGAAAGTAACTTACATCATTCGAGAATGGACTTCCTTTCTATCAGGTTCTGTAAACAGACGAATAAACAGAGAATGACAACGTTTTTCACTTAGCAACATGCAACGAAAGAAAGGATCGAAAAGGATTGAAATGATTATTAAAATGGTAAACGAATTCAAACTCACCATCGTCCATTTTGCACGCCCAAACCCAATGCAGATCTGTGCATGCGCGTGGATTTACCGCTGGACAAAAAAACTGTGGAAAATCAGGACTGGGCCAGCGGGCCTCTGGGCTGCTGGGCCCTTGAACCGCCAGGCCGTTGCGGGCCAAGGGCCATGGGCCTTCGGGCCGCTGGGCTGTGGGCCTGCTTTTAGCAAAACCCTTAGGAATTTGAGTCTTTTAGCTTGAAATTAATGTATGAAGTCATAAGAGATGAGGGATTTGTGCTTAATTTGCAAATTAAATTACCACCAAAAGATTACAAAATTACCACTGTGTAATGGCTTGAGCACAAGGTTTCTTGGTAATGATAATTCTTTATTTAGAGTGACAAACTCTGTTTTAATAGCTAAAAGGCTACTTTGCAGGAAGCCCACTATTAATAATGGTAATAGGACTGAGTGGAGTCCAATTCAGTCTGTAATCATAGGAGTGATTAACAAAATCGGACGACTGTGAAGTGGGAGTCCGATTTGTTAATCACAAGTATGATTACAGACTGAATTGGACGACATTATGTCCTGTTACCAATTATCAAAACTATGACAAAATTCGAGAAATGAACAAACCATCGATTGAGCGCTGAACGATTTGAAAACATTATGAATGCTGAAAAACACAGCAGTTTACTCAACAAAGTGCACCGCGACAGCGTGCGCAAAATGACGCGTACTGTCCAATTAATGCTCAAATAAGGCTGCTGATAGCCAATCACGTTCAAGTATTTTGTTATAGTTTTGATTAAAATAACATAAATACATATTAATTAATAAACAAGTAAACAAAGAGAAAATACAAACTAGTTAACACGTAACTAGTGTATCAATAGTTTAGGGTGAAATAAACGCTAATGTTGGCAAGCAACCATTGTATGAACTGTCATTTACCTCTGCCACCTTCCTCCAATGTGATCTTCCATATTGACTCTTCCATGTTGTGGGCTTCTTTCACCCTAGCATTTTTTGTTTTTTGCAAAGCAGTGAATTCACCTGCAATGGTAGGTTTAATCCCCACACTCACTTATCGAGAGCTGATGTCATTTTTCAGCCCACTATTTGCCACACCAATTTTCTTGAAATAACCATTAACAAGTCTGAAACAGACCCCTTCCGCAAGACAGCCAACCTCACCATGGCTAAGTCAGACTCAAGCATAGGTACCATCACTGCCCTTCAGGACTACCTTCTTCAAACAGACAGATGGAGTACCTCTCAGCCACTCTTCCAATTCACTGATGGGCACAGTCTTACCTGTGCACCTCTTACCAACAACTTGCATGCTGTCCTATGTGTCTGTGGTTTGGAGTGTACACTTGGCTTTCCACAGCTTCAGAATTCATGCAGACACAACAGCAGGAGCAGCAGGCTTTCCCGATTAATTGATTAAAGTCCTTGGAGGGTGGAAATCTGATGCTTATCAGACATATATCAAGATCCCAAAAGAAACTCTTTCAAGTCCCAAAGAACTTGGCATCTTGCCTTCCTGATTTGTCCTTGAAACACTTAAAACTGCTATCTACATTGCGAACACAACAATGTCTCTTTGTACTTAATACTTCATTCTTAGGTGAATACTTTGTATCTGCATAGTCCTAGGTCGTACGGGAGGGCACTCAGGTCCCCCTTACTGCCTCTCTACAGCTGCCTGGTCTCATTGTCACCCTTGGGGTGAAGGAATGTCCATGCCTAATCCTTGCACCTCCTGTGGAGATTCGGTTTGAGGGATCTGCATTAACTCAGTTTATGGGCTCCACACATGGTACTTTGTTGCCATACTTGACATCATGTGCGGGAAATTGCTGCCTGTGACACCCCTTCAGCCCTGTGCTGAAGCCCCACCAGGGGGGAGACATTTGTTACTCTGGACTGGGTTAACTTGGCCCCAGGACATTATTCCAGCAACAATGTCCGCCTTGCAGTATAGGCATGGGGCACCCCCCTCAGCACGGTGCCATGTGCCGAGGCCCCTCATCTGGTCAGTGGGTTTTATCTGAACCTTGCCAGTAGATTCCCTGCCCAAGATTGCCCACCAAATGGTCTTATGTGGTCATTGCGTGCCACAACATTGACTGTAAGTAGTTTGTTGTAATAGACCTTTTTACCCATACAGCAGCCATTTAGCATTCCATTGTTTACAGTGTTATCCTGAGATCAGGAGTTAAAATCAAGTTGTTTCCAATGGATTTGTTTTCCTTATGATGTGTGGTTCCAAAAATATCTAGTGAAACCTGTATTAGGCAGACACCCTTGGGACCCTCACTAGTGTCTGCTAATACAGGGTATCTGCTCTAAGCAGGTTCTAATATATTGTGCAATAATAGTTAATTATTAACCCTTTTGTAACTCAGTTTAAAACTGTGTAAGATCAAAGACTGCTCCAGTTAGTCAATTCATCAATCTGGAATAATCTACTTAGCTTTAAAACGAAATCGCTGAACAATGTTAAAGGAGTCTAAGCTGAGCTTTCACAAGTAAAAAGTCCTTGAAGACTGTCCGCTTATTGCAGGTTTTGTGCAACAAAATGGCTTAAAATTGGTGTCCACATCCACTTAACAGAGGTGTCCCCTGAATGCAGGTTTAGTTTACAGTAAATGTAGGAAGAAAATTTTGGGACTCAAGCTGGTGTCTACTTAATGGAGGGTGTGCGCTTAGTATGGGGTCCACTTAACACAGGTTTCACTGTATACCCACCCTGAAGTGAAATTCCCAGAAGGGTGGGGCAATTAGTTTATAAATTTGTATGTAATGTAGTGTACCAGTAAGTAGTTTGTTGTAACAGACCTTTTTACTGATATGGCAGCCATTTTGTCTTCCATTGTTTCAAAAAGCTATTATGGGATGCTTAAGGGGCATACTAGTATGTATTTGCCCGCTAAGCACCCTTAATAGTTATTTGGAACAATGAAATTCAAAATGGTCACCATATCGGTAGACAGGTCTATTAATGTATTTGCAAGTACTGTCTTGTAAGCAGTTCATTGCGAGTTTTTTTACAAGTAGTGTATTTTCAGTAGTAGTTTATTGTATATCACATATTGTACGCAAGGTATGGAAATGTAATATCAGCGAAATGTTGCAAAAAAATATTATAAAACAATATCAAAACATAACAGTTCAGCCAATAAGATTGCAGCATTTGCATTATTATGAGTAGCATTCTACTAGGTTTACTTGGTATATAATACTGCATTGATTGCCTGCGCCCTCAACTAGTAAGACGCAATTAGGCCAGAGAGTAGTTCAAATCTGATGAGACACTTTCACTTGTGTGTGACACACTGTAAACTGCCACTTATAAGCCCTGGGCTTAAACAGCTTTGTAAGGGTTTTTAGATGGGTTTATAATCAAAGTGGCTTATATCTGAAGGGGCTTCTAATTGGAATAAAAAACTGTTTTTAAATGCATTATAGCTGCACATGTTGATCAAAATAGGTTTTTCATTCACTGGTTATTAAGCTTTAAAACATCATAATAAAAGGAATTCTAGAAAACTAGACGGGGGCTTGTAACCGGATGTCTTTTTTCGGTTTACAAGTAGATGGACCTATAAAGGGGGTGGCTTATAAGTAGCAGTTTATGGAAGACAGAAAAGTGAACCATGCTAAAGTACTTTCATTAATTTTTATTATATCTACACTGCCATAAATACTAATGCACATGATAATTTCTAAGAAATTAGATTTAGTTTCATGCTTACTTAAGCGCCTCCAGTTTGGCTGGTAAAATCTTTTGCACATCCTTTGATAATTTTTTATTTCGTATCCCAGAGAGTGATTGTACGCTGTCTGACATTAGATTCCCACAACTCGTACATCCAAAATGTTTGCCCTCATTTCTTATGATTCCTATTAAGTATAAAGTAGCTGATGTAACCTAAGTAAGATGCCTAACAACTTAAATTGGTCTACAAATATGTTAAAAAAGTTTAATTTTGAGTCACAAAATGTGCGCAGCTAATAAAAGGGTTTACAAGCTCTCCTTTGTATAGCATTATTACTAAGGTTGTGCAACAAAAAAAAATGTACCAGTGTACCTGACGTTATGCTGCCAATTTACAATACTTATTGACATGTAACTGATGTATCTCTCAGTCTCTAAGAACATGATGGTCTAATAAGGTGTAGCTTTTGAATTCACTTATATTCTGATCACTTGTGCCAAGGACCTTTGCAAAATATGAGATGATGACTTGTCTAAATGATCTGGTGATGATTTCACCCAGACTTTGGCATAAGTACCACCTACATGGCCTTTGGCAAGTCGGCCTGGGTTGAGACATAAGCAGCCAAGAGTGTCCTGCAGTAATCACAAATCAAACACAAATAGTAAGACCGTTTTTCCAGCAAACATTTTCCTGCTACATCCTGCCAAAAAAATCTAAAAACGAAAAACAAAAATTTTCACGAAAGCCCAAAATCAATGGAACATGTTCTTTCAAGGCACCAACAGTTGACACTATTCATTATATGTCTATTATTATTGATAGATCTTTCGGTAAACACTATTTATGATGCATTAATTTTTCGTTGAATATTTGGTTGCCACTGTTAACCACCTCCATCTTCACAAAGACTTTCCAATTTGCTTTATTTTTAATGCACATTATTTTTAATGCACACTGCACATTCTGATTACACAGAGCCTTGAACAGGTACACACAAAATCACACTCACGCATCTACACCCATCTCAAAAAAGGACTTTGACCATAAGAACACATTTTTTTACACACTGTTAGATATCGAGCAAAAAATATTTCCTTTAGAAACACAACTTGAAGCATGTATGGTTGCAGCAACATATCTGAGACAATCTATGACACAATCCTAATCACTAGAAAGGTAGTTTGTCTTCCTCTGACAAAAGCTCTTACTAATGCACCAGCTAGTTAGTACACTCACTATGTTGGTGAAAGTGTCAACTGACAAATACCCCAACTGTCTGGTGATAATTTCATTTCATTTTTCTATATCAAAAGATAAAAGAGAATGTCTAACACTGTACTAGTGGTTAGTGATTTCTAATGCATTATAGAGAAAAAACATACCTTGGCAAAATATCGAAGATCTGATGGCAGGATCAAGATGTCAGGATTGTAAGGGAGCATTGCATACTTTTCAAACTGCTCATAATCTATGTTGACATCTTCAGCTGGTGGATGCAGTGGGTAATAGCTGTAGAGCAGAGTTCAGTTGTTAAAATATTCTCATGGTGAAACTTATTGTAATTCAAGTCTCTTAACACTGCTATAGTTGCAGCGAAAAAGTTAGATTGATGGCCCAAGAGGTAGAGTGAAAGAATTCATACAGAATATTAAATAAATACCTATGCTGGTGAAGAATATGTTTCAGAAGGCGACCAAATCTGTCAGATGATCCTGGTGGACTGAAACATCAAAGTTTTTCGCAAATAAACTCATATCTTTTAAGCGTCTAGTTCAGAAATGTTTCAAGCAGTTCTACATAAAAATATATGCCCATGGCTGATTACAGAAAATAAATTTTTGTGACTTTAGTTACTGCATTGTAATCATCAAAACACCAGTGTAATTAGAACAAAAATGCATTGCTACAAAATAAATTTCTCCCTTCAGTGGCATTCATTTTAAATCATCTATGAAAAGTAGGGGGTCTCACCAAACTGTCTCTTCACTTGCCAAGTGTAACAATACATCCATTGAAGAAAGACCAACAGACACATTGTTGACTACAAGGGTACAAGGATCTGACACAAAATGGATTCGCTGTAAGGAATAAAAAGAATGGTTATAGTGTACATACCAGGATTTTTGTATGTAACTGTTGCAAATAGTTCAGTTGAATTATCGAAAAAATCTCACATAATTGGAAACAAATTGAAACTGTTTCTGATTAACTGGATGAGCATGTAGCGATAATCAAAAGCCCCAAAAAGAGAACAGTCAACTTATTCAAATCTGGAGTACTTACAATGTACTAGATAACATTGAGTTAATGTTATTTATTAATCTATACATCCTGCCTTGCTAGTGAGGGAGCCCGACTGGTTTTAATTACCGGTAGGTTTCCTCACCATTTGTTTATTTTTTCTTTGTAATTAAATTGTTAATTTAGTTATGTACATGGCAAAAGTAAAATAAATAAATAAATAAAATAGTTGTACATAAGTTGGGTTGGAAAGGGCTTATTTCTGGATGGCCATATGGCTGAACTATGTTTTCATTACCAGATGGGCTTATAATCACTCAAACTTATAAGTGGCATTTTATGATATTCTAAGGAATAAGCAAGACATAACTTTACCTCAGCTGCATTGAATTCTGCTGTGTTAACTTTGGTGCTGAATGGTGGCTGGGGATAGACAAAGTCATGGTGGACATCTCGATGAGATGGCACAAAAACAACTGTAGTGGCTAGTCTGACAAAGAAAAACAATTACAAAGTACTCCAACAAGTTCATTATCATGTTTCACCTTATCTGGTCTATTTAAGATAACTGATACACATCAAAATCAACAGATCATTACATAATCATTTAATAATGTCAAATAATACAAGAGAAAATCATTAACACGGTTCTTGCATGAATTCTAACTGTGCTATATACCTAACCCGTACAGGACAAAAGCTGATTAACCATCTAAAATGAATGCTTAATTGTACATTAATTCATGCTATTAACGTACTGTGAACTGCGGCTTATAAGCCCTGGGGTTAAACAACTTTGTAAGGGATTTTGGATGGGCTTATAGACGGAGGGGCTTATCCATGAAGCAGAATATAGGCCATTATAAGTGAAATAAAAAGACATTTTGAAATGAACTACAGCAATGTTGATTGAAATATGTTTTCCATGTACTGGTTTATGATTATTAGCTTTAAAACATCATTATAAATCAAATTCATTTCATTTTAAACTAGAGGGGGCTTATATACAGGGGAGAATACATCTGGGGGGCCTTGTATCCGGCAGTTTACAGTATATAATTATATTTCTACACATCCTTATGACACAATAACTCATGTCGCATTATCATGCAACATCAAACATTAAGCGTCCACAACAAGAGAGAAAAAAAGACAAGTAAAGAGCTGGTGCAGTACTAGTTACATTAACTTTGCCTGCAGTCTACTATCTTAAATGGTTGCTACAACCCCTTTTTTCCTTTTTGTTTGCTTTTCCTTCAGTGCACCTCTCCATTTTCACACACAAAAAAAATCTGAATGTGAATCATGTTGCTTACATACATACACACACTTTCTCACACACCGCTGGGAGCCATGCCAAGCCGAACCACACAGCCTGACCTTTATTAACATAAGAACATAATAGTCTTACAATGACACAAAAAAGTGGCTAGAGAATAATTTCACCTCAACTTAACACATTCTACAAGTACTCCACAGGTGGGTGAGTGGGTGGAGCATGTCAGGCAATGGCAGATGGCAAAACAAACACTGAAACTTTACACAGGCCACGTGACCTGAAACCCCCCGGCACACCTGTTCCCAGACTCCCAGCCGTGTGTAAGAAAAACGTTTTCCACTTCTTTTGTTCCTCAGCCAACGGAAAACCACACTTATTAATGTGTCTTAACATCTAGCCGATGGTGGAAAACCCCCTCTACTAACAGATGCAATCAGTAATCCACCATAATGTGGTTGTACTACCATGTTTTCATGAATGCACACATTCTTGCTCTCACTAATGAAATGTGGACAATCTTTTTTTGTCCAACTGGTATGACTATCTATTGACCCATTTGTACATCATCATTACATCACTGAGTAGCCTGTACACTAAAATAACACAAAATAATTAAAACAACATACTTTTCAGTAGCTTTAACTATCTGTTGTACTTGTCTGTCAAAGAGATCTTCAAAAGGTTCCTCTAGATCACCATTCTAAAATATCAAGGTTGAAACAATTTAGTACTGAATATAATTTAACACTCTCATTTTAGAATCTGTTAATAAATGGACTCTAAAACTAAACTGACTACCAGACCATCCTTGAGGGAGTTTAGCCCTTGGACCACTTGAGGCATCTGATTCATCACTTTCAGGCCTCAAGAAATTTTATTTGACCCTCAGTGGACAAACTGGGGATCAAGAGCATGCCTAAAGGAACATGACAGCATGTACTGGGCCAGAGGTCAAAGTGAAGTAAACAAAACAGAAGGTTAGCTTAGAGTTGAACTGTTGCTGGGGCTAGGGCGTGGTGTGCACACAGCCAAAGTGAGGACGAACTCATCTGCCTTACAATCAGCTCTATCCTACTTTATTATCAAAATCCATGTCTTCATACATTCATAATGGCAGCTAAAACTACAATATCAAGGATATGGGCAAATCCACACCTAAATCCTACAGGACTAGACATAACTCAGAGGAGTATCCTAGGGTACAATTTACCACTAAAAGGAAATGGTTTACCTTCAAAAAAGAGAGCAACAACAACAACAACCCAAGAGGAGTGTAACTTTTTCTGAGCCCAAAACTGCAAAGTTTGTCTTTAGCTCATGCCCATGCAGGTGGAAAAGTAATTAGCTATTGCTCTCAAAGTGAAGGAGAAAGCTGTTTTCTATCTTCAAATGAAGTTTTGAGTCATCTGGATGAAAACTCCAGGGAAAAAATAAGCCAGAAATAGGCATGTGTACCACCAACTGGCTGTTGCCTCTTGTTTCGAAGGAGGGGGGAATCCCAGGAGCCAGGTTACATTGTAAAACACAGTCATATTTTTACTTACTATGATCTGATCATGCTTGGTATCGACAAAGGGTCCTAGCTAAAGAAACCAAAGTACATGCAAAGAAATTACGACAGACTCCACTCTATGTTCGAGCAATAAGTGCAAAAATTATTTACTAAAAATCTACTCATTGCGCAGTAACTTTTGGAATACTATTTAAAGCAACTCACTTTAGTTCATTTCTCTAAGTGACCCTGCGATTAGCATTCTTGAGAAAGTTAATGTCAAACCTCATAAAAATTCTCAAAGCATGTGTTACTGTGTTATTAACTAATGCAAAATGTCTGTTTTAATTGAAATATGGATAACTTCACGTTCAGTTTTCCCTCACTGGGTTAGCTTAAGAACTTAAGTCTCGATAAGTTCTTCTTAACTGTATTCGAAATATCACCATGCCATGAGGCTTTTTCGGTAACCAAATTTTTGCCATTATTGCTCAAATGTTCTGTAGAAATCATGTTAAAAAGTGAAACTAAAATTTAATTTTCTGTCCACATTCGAACCTCCCAAAAGCGACCACCCAAAATGTCAAGCCTTGCTGGTCTGTTATGGGGAGGTGGTTGATTACAAGAGTATAGACCATATTAGGCCAAATTTTGCCTCATTAGCATATGGTAACTGCAGAGACTTACCCCTTGCCCCTTACCCCTTTTCATGTGAAAAGTCAATTTCGAGAAAAAATCTGGTACTTCACATTGAGAAATTTCAGTCTCTTGTACTACTAATGAATGCAATAATGTTACAACACCTTATTATCCAATTTCTGTTCTGTTATCTCTCAAGTGGTCCCTTACAGGAAGTTAAAAACAAAAGTAAATTTCAAACTTTTAGCTCTAAAAGTGATCACGGTTGCTTACAAGAGGTTGCAAATATAGTGATTTAATTGACTTGGAAAATTTTGGTATTTCGGAAAACTGGTTGCTGAGGACAGGTGGTCGCTTCCAAGAGGTGGTTTAAGTTTACTAAATTCTCCATCTGTTTTATCATTAGACTTACCAAAATAAGAAGGTTTGGTTTATCATTTTGTACTTTTTGCATGAGATCTGCAAGGGGTTCATAAAGTAGGCTGTCTGAAGTTGTAAATGGGCCAGCAGCTACTGACATTAAAAATGGCTCTGCAAGAAAAATGCTAAACATGTAAATTTTGATGTTAGACAAAAATCTCTTGATCAGGGTTTTCAAATTGAAATAAAGTAGCAGGAAGAAATTGTAATGAAGGCATAAAACACTGTTCCAATTGAAGAGCCGTAGGCATATCCACCATACGTCAAATTTTAGGTTATGTTTTGCTTTTTTTCACTCAGATTTGCCAGGAAAAAGCTCAAAACAAGTTTCTGTCCTACAGCAAAGCAAAGAGGTTTGTCTTGCTTCAAGTTTTGAAAGCAGTAATTGTCTTCACTTTAAAATATGGCAAAATGTTAATTTCACGTCAATGGGTGACCTCAAAGATGCTTTTTTCACTTAAGAAAGAGTTAAACGTTGATTTTATGAGAATGCGTGACTGCTGCGATGCTCATTTCACTTAAAAACAGTTCAATGTTGATTTCATGTTAAAGGTCAAATGAACCAAAATTTAGACATTTTTTTTCATTTGAGTTCAATGTGTTCATTAAGTGTAAAATAAATATATTCTGAAGTTTCAAACGAATTGGACAAAGCATAGTGGAGATACTGGAATGTTATCCTTCATAATCGTAGCGCGGTCAGGAAAATTGTCAGACAACTGTTGGAAATAAAGCTTGTGATGTCACTGTTGGTGAGCTCAAGAAATGCAGGAAATTTGAAACTGTTTTGGTTTCATGTTCACAGTGAACTTCAGAGGAAAACCACTCAAAATCAAAAGTTAGCACTTTCAAGTTCCCCCAGGACCCAAGACTTAAAAGAGAATGGCTTCTTAAAATGAAAAGAGAATGCTTCATGCCCTCAAAGCATTTGCGCATTTGTGTAAAACACTTTACCGAAGACAGCTTCAAATAAAATCTTGTCGTAAGGAGTTTGTTGGGACCCTCTTTCAAGCTTTGTCAACTTGTAGTCAAGAAAGACGCAATACCGATGATTTTTAACTTCACTATGGAATGTTGCAAGCCGGCAATTGGACAAAAAACAATGAAAAACAAGCAAATAATGCCCACCAAACAGCAGGCGAACTCCTCGGTCATTTCCCAAGCAAAATAAGGTTTGTATTTAGATCCAAAGCCTTCCCCACAAAAGACTCACTGACGCAGAAACGCAGCAATGTTCAAGACAACAATGACATCACAATTCCATTCCTTCCTTCCAGATGACCTCACAAATGCTCTTTTTCAGTTAAATGTTGATTTCACAAGAACACGGCTCTTGTGATTGCTGCAGCCTTGTGGGGGAGGGTAAAGAAGGGGTTTTCCACCTCAGGCATGACAGTACCAGGTGTCCCCCTGGAAAATTTTGAAATTCTAGGTGTCATGAGGTGTATTCTGTTGCACTTTTAGAAGTTCACGCTATGGTTTTAAAAATTTCTCAGCACTCAAGTTACACATAAAGGGAAAAACCACAATGGTGTTAATCATCTAGAATTAAAATATATGAGATAAAATTACAATAAAATATGATAAAAATTTGCCTCAGCAAGTCTGGTATTTTATCTAACAAAAGCATGGACATTCATCATTGTTTTATTGTCACTCCCAAAACTAGAATCTTATAATCCCTAAAATTATTGTTACCTGTTTGCCTTTCTGATTTGTTGACATTAGAAAGAAAAGATAGCATGTCTTTTTTTGCCTCAGTTTAATTGTGGAAAATTTACAAGTTCTAAGAGTATGCAGGACATAGACAGGACATAGAGGAGCCCAAAGGTTCCTGACCATGAAATCCTGGATGCCAAGGACATGGACATAATAATATCCTCATAAGGATCAGATGACTATTACATTTGTGGAACAAAGTTGCGTATTAAAAAAGTACCCTGTACAAATGCCTGAAGTAGCTGGTGACTGGCGTTGGGTGCCAGCCCATTTTGAAAACCGTGTCTTTGACTAGTTATTATACCAATAAAAAATCTACATCAGCATCTTAAAAAATTATAGATCACCTTAAAAAGTTAAGCTAAATTTCAAATTTGTCATCATATTCATTCTTCATAAACAATTTCTCTTCCTGTACAAAAGCAGGTCCAGCCCAGGGTAAGTTTCTGATAACCACATTCATGGTTCTCCTATGTGAAGCTGAAGTATTCAAGCAACAGTAGCAACTACAAAAAAAAAAAAATGGCAGAGTAGACCATCCACAGACAGTCCAGTGTGGCCTGCTTGTGACATTTTGTGGTGAACCGTGATTACCTGATGTTATGTCCTCAGAACCATGCTCAACATTTTCCACTGGTGAGTGGAAAGGAAGCTGTACTCCCTGGGGAAAAACAAATTCTGGAATTAATTCCTGCACCGTCATATTTGTTATCAAAGTTAAGCTGGGGATGAAACAAAAAGAAAATGAGGTCAGGCAGAACTTCCTTACCATAAAAATGCCAGTTCTGAGATTTAATAGAAACATGTTACAATGGTACAGTCATGCATATTTATATCATTGATAAACCAACTGCTGGATGTGCATTTGTAAGAAATGTAACCTGTATAGTATGGACAGCATTTGCTCTTAGTTATCATGATTATGAAAACATATGCAACAAGGCAAATGGTTTGAACCATCTCCAAATTCTAATTTGACCAGGATAGAGGACCCGCATGAAAACCAGCCGAGGCTGATGTGGCTTCCTCTCTAAATATTGTGACTTACCAATATATAAAGCTGGTACAGCAACTTATAACAAACACCTGTCAACAGTCATCAGTTGTCAACAACTACTGGCACCTTACAAGCCTTCTTCATGACATAAACAAAGCCGACCGGTGGAACACAAACAGAACAATTTAATTCGACTAATGATGGACAGATTGAAACCTACATGTATTGGAACCAACCAATGACTGTTGACAAACTTCACATAAGTCTTACAGCCACCACCATCATAGTTAAACTGGCCGATCATTTCCATGGGATCAGGCTTATAACACTTTCAACTGGCAAACACTTTTCACTTGACTCTGACTTTCACTCAGGTTGCGGAAATATCAGTCACCAACAACAGTTCCTTTAAGAACTACATCACCCAGACAATAATACTATATGAACAACTCCAACCAAGCAAGCCCTTTGCAATTATAATATTTCCCATCTGAGTTGGTGAAAAGTTGGGTGGATCCTTCGAAAGTTGGACAGAGACTGGGAAGTCTAATACAGGATTACATGGAACTTTTGACTATAAGTAGTTGTTCTTGACTTATAAATGGCTTAATAGTGAATGCAGCTTCTTTTGAAATACACATCTTTGGGGGAGTTACTGAAAATTCCAGGGAAGAGAGTAAGTATCAGACTAAGCTAGAATTTTCAGATGTGAATGATGGCCAATGGGAGTTTCCTCTGAGTCACTACCACAATGCACAAAGTTTACTGACTTACTGTACAAAGTTTGTTCACAACCAATTTTTGACCAGTACTGTTCACTCCCTCAATAGCAACAACCTGAAATGGCAAATAATAATAAAAAATATTATAATTTTATTTAGTGGATTTAAATGATAAATGCAACCAATGCAACGTCAATATTGCCTAAAAGCAAGAATTTCAAAAAAGATTCCCCTCATTTAGTACAAAATACTGTAAATGTGCATGTAATTTGACTTTCTTCCACATCTGCTCTGTGCAGTGCACACAAGGTTATTACACAATTTACATTGTAGGATAAAAGGCCACACTCTACTAAAACATCAAATTGAAAATGGAAATGACAGCTCGTTTGTTAATTTAACCTAATTTATAGTTTCACTGGTGAAGAACTACACTGTTGTGACAAATTCAGAGAGTATTAGCTGACTATTGTATGAGCAAAAGGCTAGAAAGACAAAAGACATGCATCATTCACGTGTAATTAAATCTTGAAACATGGTTATCAAATGTAAACCACTTCATTTTATGCATTTCTGCCCACAATGATTTTTAACAACTATCTAAAAAGGTACCAAATTTTGTCACTTCTTCATCACTTTTCCCCTAATGTTTCTGCAGTAACCATGTTTTTGGATTTAATTAGAGGTTTTGCTTTTATTTGTTAGAGGTGTGGATCAAAAATGAAGGATTTTGTTATGAAATATGACACCATCAAAAAATTGTCCCAAAAACTGCAAAGTGCTCAATCACATCTGAGTCAGTGGTATTTCGTCTGGTGCAGGTGATAAAATGCTACCAGAAACCATGATTACTGCTTTGTAATAATTTTTAGATTCCATTTAGAAGTTGGGAAGTTGTTTACCCTCTGGTTTTCATGTTCTGGTCACGTGACAAATGCTACAAATATATTCTTCTTTTAACATAAACATGGCAAAAAAGAATAGCCTTGGAAGTAACAATGATAAATAAAAGACTTATCCAACAAAACACATGATAGAAGTGATGAGCAGATTGTTGTTTCTGATGACTATTTTTTTTGTTTATTTATATTTGCTTTTTATTTCTATTTAGTTTACTAAATTTAATTTAATTTTCTTGATCCCTGATCCTCAATCCTGGTTTTCCAGGAGACCAACCTGGCCATTAGTGACAGCCTTGCACCTACTTTGCCAGTTCTCTGTTTCTGTCTAATCTCTTAAAGTGCCTTAGTTTATCATTTTAACAAATAATTCTGTGAGATGTATTATACGAAGAGCACTTTTCAAGTAAAATAAAAAACATTACCTGACCAGGAAAGAGTGCAAACTGTCGTAATTCTGAAAGATCCAACTTGATTTGCTGTCCTGAGGAGAGCTCTTGTGAACCTTCCAATACAACTGACTGTGAATTTAATTTCCCATTTGAGTCACAGCAAATACGCCCAATAACAAACACCTCTTCCTTCAGTTAAAAAAGAGGGAGACATTCATTAATACATGAGACTTTTCAAAAATTACAAAAAAATAAATGCACTATATATAAGATATTTTACCAAGGCTTTGTAACAGCACAAAGTAAGGTATCACTTTGATAAACCACACGATGTTTTTGAAGTTCATATTTTAATGAAGACAATACATGTTGCGGATGAGACATCATCCACCCTCAGTTGCACAGTGAGAAATAAAATAAAAATATGCAATAAATAGTACTATAACAAAGTGAGATATTAACAAGATTAATTAAGAATGAAGGTGTGAACCAAAAAAAAGGTGACTATTTAAGCTAAGAAAGGAGACTAGTTAGTATGAAAGGGACAAATTAAGATGTTTGACCTGGGAATTTAAAGATGGCTGCCCCCAAATGATGTGCGTGGCTTCCTTGATTTCAATTGGAAGCTTGTGGACGCAGAGTTGAGAATTTTAAAACAATTTTCTGAACTAAGGGAGTGGCAATTTTCAGAACTTCTCAGGTGTTTAAAGATGTGGGAATGGTTGTCAGAGGAAAGATGTTTGAGGATGCGAGTGGCGAAGTGTCTCTTGGTTTCACCAACATAACAGGCACTACAGCCTGCACATGAAAACTTATAAATGACTCGTGATTGTAAGAAAATCTGTAGGGATAGGATCCTTGACCCCGAACCACCCCCTGATGCCTCCAAACATGTATTGTCTTCAGAAAAACGCCATTACCGGTCAGCGGTATATGGCCAGTCATGTGACGCATCACCATTCCTGGTCCGCCATCTTGTATTAAGTTGCGGTCGTGCTATCCGCCCCGGAATAAAGCCGTTCTACTAAAGTGATTCGTGTCGTTTCTCCCGGTATACCCTTCTCGCTGGCGTGGTGGCGTGGTCCCTCTCGATACACTTTACTCACTCTACGATGCACATGGTCTTCCAAATATGGAAGGTCCCACATATGGCTATGTCATGCATCATGCAACAACATTACAATAACTTTGCCCCTTTTCTGGCTGAAGGAGTTACTTGGCTGAAAAAGATGAAAGCCCAGCCACTAAGAGGATTCGAAGACAACGGTGAAGACATCGCAGCTCCAAAACGTCTAACTGCTCAGCAGAAGGCTAGCTTTCTAGAGCTTATGCTTGGCCAAATAGTAACTACTGTCCAATTATTTCAAGGAGCACTTTAGTTAAAAACTCGACCTCTCTAAAGTTTATTCGGCAAACGATCAGACAGCACTTTGGCTTCCAAGTTACAGGGGCTCACTTTATTGATTTTTTTCATATGCAACTTGAGGCAGGTGAGCGCCCTGAAGATCTATACCAGCGGCTTATGGCCTTTGTTGAGGACTCACTCCTTCGAACCAGTGGCATAAGTCATCACGGTGAGTCACTGCAAGAAGACGAAGAGCTCTCCTCAACATTGGAAAACCTTGTTGTACTCACATGGTTGAAGCTTATCCACCCGAGTTTGCCTAGGCTTGTCAAGCAAAGATAGATCGTTTTCACGTGACGTCATCACTTTCTAAAATCCAAAACTAAAGAGCCACCAAAGTTTTTATCCTCATCAGGCACAAGAGGCGGTATATTTAT